CCCAGCTTGCTGCTGAAATTTCTACACAGCCCGTGACGAAACTGGACCAACAGGGGGCGGAAGTCTCACTTCTCGGGCCCCCGCTTTCCTCATCCGAAATGCGAAATTTCCCAAACTGGGAAAGTGCTTCGACGTCCAGGGGAAGTTTCCGGCGGCAGAAATTGATGCTGCTGCCAAGCCAATGCCACCTGCCTGCAGAACAACACCATTACGTTTAGGTAAGAAGTTTGTTTCTATGTCTGTTCGACAGTTCCCCAATCCCGCACGATGGAGCGTAAATGGATTTACACCCTATTCGCGATAATTGCACACCCCCTACCCTCTTTTTTGAAGGTGCCCTATACCAATTCAAGCTCGATTAGACGGACACCCTGAAACTCAGGGACTATCAGTCGACAGCGAGATGCAGTGTCTCTTGAAATTACACCATGTGTTCCGAGTGAGGACGGGATTGGGTAGGCGCGACTAAAGTTTTTAATGCTTACGTCTATTCGCGACTGGGTTTCGGAACACCCACCAGCTGTTCAATATTCGCAGCGAACTACCCTGCAAGAATGTTTGTATCCTGGGTATGTACCCCCAGGGTGTGCGTTAAGGGGTGTGAAATTTTCGCGAATAGGATGTATTCTGACGCCGCCGGCTTAGTCATTCACGACAACTAAACCCGACGCGTGCGTGAACGCGTGCGTTCTGGCAGAACGAAGATAAGGTTCCACAGCCTGTGAGTGACAGGTGTTGTACTCTCATTTGTCAGTCAGCCCGGCCCCGGCGTGTCTCCCTTCTACAGTAAGCTTGACCGTTTACACTACTGCATAGCCCATCTGCCACTTTGCCCTTGCCCAGTGGTTATGCAGTGAGTGTCCTGGCAGACGCTATCTTCACACACTGTGCAAGGGACCCTGTCTGTACAAATTTCGTGTTTTGTCAGCAGCAACCACATTGGACAACTATGGAGGTCCCATATTGAGGTCGATATAGTGGGCAGCAAGGGCGCGACAGTACGTACGACACGTTAGATAAAACGAAGTTTGTTTCTTATGACCGTTCAACAGTTCCCCCGCACGATGGAGTCATAAACCTAGTACAGTAGGATTGATTCCGGCGCCACCGGCTTTGTCATTCACGACAACTAGACCGACGCGTGCGTGAACCCTATCCAGAAACGAAGAGCAAGGAGGTGCAAAGGAGGAGCAGCCGCATGTCATTCATGTACAATTTTTTTGCCCTTCTTGCCAACAGCAGCCACATCGGACGAAATGCTATAGAGGTGCTGTATTGGTATATACAGTATCAGAGGGCAACCAGGGCCCGACATTTTGAAGCAAACATGCTGTTCGATTCGGTACAATAACATTCTAGATAACACGTCATTTGTTTTCTGCACGGTGATCCCAATCCCATCCAATCCAATCTTCTGGTCCCAATCCGCCCACCACCCCATCCGTCACGTCTGAAACGGATCCTCCGATCCGCGGATAGGTACAGTACATCAAGGACAGCGCCGGCTTGAGCATTTTCAACCACACGACCCGTGTATGAACCCTTTCAGATCGATGAGGTTCACGGCAAAATCAGCCGCAGGTTCATAAAAAAACATCAGGGCGACTCGACAAAGGGGAAGTGGGGGAGGGGGTGGGGGGGGAGGTGTTTGGGAGGGGGGGAGGAGATTTGTGCCTTGAAGTCGTCACGGAACGGAACGGTGAGAGGATGGTTGGCTGCGTCACATATATCAAAGCTCCGCTGGGTCAGGGACAGAGTCCCAGATTTTCGAGTAAAAACACTACCAGTAGTACTAGTAGTAGTAGTACCAGTGTTTCCGTTCTTCCTTCCTTCAGAGTATTAGGCAATCTATTCTCGAATGCTCGGCAAAATGGCGGTAAGAGAGTTTCTAGGAGCTATGGCGGCGCGACTTGCCTGTGTGATGGCTGTGCTGCTGCTTCTGTCAAGCGGCCCCGGCCCTTGGCCGGGCGGCAGTCAGCCGGGGAACCAATCTCACGGCATCACGGTGCACGCAAGCGCCACCATCAAGCCAGCGCAAGGTTTGCACCGTGCTGTACTAGTAATAGTACCGTCCCAGGGGTACTTCTGCCCATCGTGAAACCTCTGTCCGTGGCAAGCGCCACAATGCGCTAACGGTACAAATCTAGTAGGACGCTGCCTAGTGGTACTATTACTACTGTAAATTCTTCTGCATCACCTTGCCTCAGGCTCTCTCCATCGCAAAAACTGGGAGGGTAGAGGGGTAGCTTTAGTTTCGGGTGCTTCGAAGCTACTTGACTAAAACTTACGACATACCTACCTTTGAGCTGCTTTGAGCGTGGGCGCTTCGGTAGTCGGCAGAATGATCAGAGGGTTGAGTTGGCGTGGATGTTTTTGATTGGCTTTCGATTCATAGCTACGGAACAGCTACTCGTAGCAAAATGGTTCTGCTTCGTTTGCCTTTCCTCTATTTCAATTCGGGCATTTCGCCCGTTCAATTTTTTCGGCAAGGATTCTATGGTGCTCGAACTCCCACTAAGGAGTTCGTAGTTACACATTGGCTGTTCATTCATGGGATTTAGAATCAACTACCTTTGAAGTTGTAAACTATCTTTTAAGTGGTAAATCACCTCATAAATCGCTTGCTGGTAAGTTTGTTTTGCATAAAATTATCGTCTGACTCTCAATTTATAAGGATTATATGACACTTTGAGAATATGTTTACGGTTGTTTAGTGTACTGATTAGAATGTGTAATAATTATCTACAGTTAGGCATTGCCTCTATTGGAGTAAGGCGGGTGTTGCTTATACATTCCAGTGCAGCCTCATCGTACCTGCCACTATCGAAACAACATATGTACCACTACCGCGTCAGCTCAAACGTCTGGATGCCTTTTTTACCATTATTTCTTCGCACAATTCTCTACTACATCCTATTACGTAGCCATAAAAACTGGTTTGACCTCGTTCGCACAACTACGCAGCACGTGGCGCTTGTTTGTGCGTTTGCTGGCCTGAATCTGTGCAAGGATAGGCCTGTGCGCAACATGTCACTGCGCCAACGTCTGGATGCCTTTTTTACCACTATTTCTTCACACAGTTCTCTACTACATCCTATTACCTAGCCATAGGAACTGGTTTGACCTCGTTCGCACAACTACGCAGCACGTGGCGCTTGTTTGTGCGTTTGCTGGCCTGAATCTGTGCAAGGATAGGCTTGTGCGCCACATGTCACTGCGCCAACACCTGGATGCCTTTTTTACCACTATTTCTTTATACAGTTCTCTACTGCATCCTATTACCTAGCCATAGGAACTGATTTCATCTCGTTAGCACAACTACGCAGCTCGTGGCGCATGTTTGTGCGTTCGTTGGCATGAATCTGTGCTAGGATAGGCCTGTGCGCAGCATGTCACTGCGCCAACCTCTGTATGCCTTTTTTACCACTATTTCTTCACACAGTTCTCTACTACATCCTATTAACTAGTCATTGGAACTGATTTCATCTCGTTAGCACAACTACACAGCTCGTGGCGCATGTTTTTGCCTTCGTTGGCATGAATCTGTGCGAGGATAGGCCTGTGCGCAACATGTCACTGCGCCAACGTCTGGATGCCTTTTTTACCACTATTTCTTCACACAGTTCTCTACTACATCCTATTACCTAGCCATAGGAACTGATTTCATCTCGTTAGCACAACTACGCAGCTCGTGGTGCATGTTTGTGCGTTCGCTGGCATGAATCTGTGCAAGGATAGGCCTGTGCGCAACATGTCACTGCGCCAACATCTGGATGTCTTTTTTACCACTACATCTTTACACAATTTTCTACTACTTCTTATTACCTAGCCATAGGAACTGATTTCATCTCGTTAGCACAACTACGCAGCTCGTGGTGCATGTTTGTGCGTTTTCTGTCCTGGATCTGTGCAAGGATAGCCCTTGTACGTTTTTTTTCCCGCGTGATTGTTTGAAACACCATATCTTCCTACCAAGTGCAGCGAATGGCACCAAATATATTTAACATGCTTGGAATATATACAATTCTTCAATGATAACAAACAGATGTCGATACGGCACCTCAAATCGCGAAGGCCTATAATTGCATATTTGTTTGAAACAACATATCTTCATTTCAGATGTTGCGAATAACATCAAATCTGTTCAGCATGCTTGGAAATATTAATTGCTCAAATGCTCATAAAACCCTTGTTCACAACATCAAACAAACTTCGATACAGCTCCTCTTGTAGCACATGCCTAACCTTGCACATATATGTTCAGAGTTATACTAGTTTTCTATAAGTTTGACATATGTTTTAAAATGAAATTCATATATTTATTGCTGCCGGAACTATAGGATAAATGCCTACATTGGTTTTTGATGGACCATTTCGTTGATAATGTAGACAAATACACATGAACCCCACTCTAATTCAACTATTCGCTGCTTGGTGTCGAAAATCGAATATATTGCTGACTATTTGTGATGTTTGCTTCGAGAACAGATTTTGGACATTGAACGAAAGAGATCTGTAAAAAGGTGGGACTTGTTTGAATGTGGTGTGATCTGTGCAATGCAACAGCAATGCTGCCACAGCTGTCGAGCTGGAGTTTGTCCACGCGAAAAACACGGCGCGCCAGGTGCGCTGTACTGCACCAACTTTGCCAACGCACAGGTGGAATTTAGCATGATTCAACCAAAATCTTTTCCAGCGAATAGATTTCGTTTGTGTCATGTGCGCCAGCACATATCTTGCCATGCGAGATTACTTTGGTGGCTTCATCAAAACGCCCTCATCCAACTGGTTTCCTTGATGCGTTGTTGGCAGCAGCTTAACCAATACAAGTCACGCATCCAAGTGGTCCACGTGATGCGCTAGTGGCTTCGGTGGTTGTGTGCAAAATTTCGTTTGACCGGTCACTACAGTTTTGGAATGTGACATGCCACTTTCGAGGCTCAATCTTTCTTGGATGAAGTTTCTGTTTCTTTTTTTCCTTTGCCAACTTTTTGGTTGACATGCCCGAGGTACCAACTCGACTTCGTCCTCCCTCCCCCTCTCCCTCCCTTCCTCCCTCCCTCATTTCTCCCTCCGTATTTCTTTCCATTTCTCTGCACCTTCGCATACGCATGCCTGCTCTTCGATAGTTGTTACTGCTCTGCTCTTAGGATGTACTTCCCCTCGCCTCTCAGCTCACCCGTACTCCCCCAGCTCACCCGAACTCTCTGAGCTCACCCATACTCTCTCAGCTCACCCGTACTCTCTCAGCTCACCCGTACTATCTCAGCTCACCTGTATTCCCTACTTCTCTCGGCGCGTAGTCCTGCTCAGCCGACTCCAGGTGCTACTCATCTTCGTTCAGCGTGTTTTCGACTTTACGTGTGTTGTTTTTCACTTATGTTCTTTATTCAATGCTTCTGTCTAATGCATGGCTTGGTCTACCATGTATCGCCAATTTGCACACGATTGTCACACCCTTGTCACCCCCGTTCCCACACGTTAACCGCGCTTTGATTTTGCTTCTGCGTAGGTCGATCGCGAACCTGATGGGAGGCCTTGCATACTCGGCTACTATGCCTTTGGTGCGCCTGCTCGTGTCTCTGGTACGGTAGCGACTTGTTCGCCCTAGCCACTTGTAGTCCGTTCAAAATTTCCATCGATTTTCTGTTTGTTTGTTTTCCTTCGATGTTGTTTGCAGGTCGCTTATGTGCAAAACAACCGCAGAATGGTCGAATTATTAAGCGTGGGGTCATTTTCCCCATGTAGTCATTGGCCGTGAAAACTCTGGCGGAATAGTCGAGCCTGTAAGTATCTAAAATTTCAATGCTAACACCTGTGTTACCGTATACTCTATTGTGCAGGAAATCAGGCAAATTCAACCTTGGTGACTGTCATAGATTTTATCATAGTGGCGTGGTGATTGTTAATAGTTTAATTACTTCTAGAGCTAGTGTGAATCTGTAGTTTGTGACTGCCTGTTTTTTGCCTGATTTGTCTGTTACTAATAAAAACACTAATAACGACAATACAGCATTGGAGGTTACATGGTCAACTGGAATATGAACAATTACATTGTTCAAAAGTAGAACTGTATGTATAGCACATTAGAACCGTGAAAATGTATCAACAATGTTGTTGAAAATCTGGAACCTGTTACCATGTTATTACTCGCTGCATTTCTGCTCACAATGATATAAACATATGTTTTTTTTTACACAATGGACATGGGAACTTGACCAGGTTACCTTGTTACTGCTGGCAGGATGATTGTACAGGCAAATTTTTAAATCACTGTACCGAGTCGTAACCGATTTCGTAACTGACAAACAAAATCGTGAGCCAATCCGACTGGCCTGCGATTTTTTGTACGATCAGTCAAGACACGCGTCATGGATAGTTTTCCTCATGTTCATAGCTACGTTAGAGTAGCTTCGAGAATTTGGCGATGTGCGGTCCAGATTCAAATTCCATGTTTTGCACAAGCGAAACCACACTCATAGTTACGCTAAAGTAGCTTCCTTTTTTTCGAGATGTGCGGCTCAGATTCGTCGCAATTTTTTCCTTGTAATGTCGCGAGCCCAACAGCAGCTTCAATGTAACCTTGCCAGCAACCCCAGGGTAGCCCGCTCCAAACCAACCACAGAGCTACCGCAAAGTTGCTTTGCGGTAGCTTTCTGAAGCCCAATTTTTTGCGATGTTGCCACCTAGAAACACATGAAACAGCCCATCGCAAAAAATTCAGAAAAAAAACTCAGAATGTGTACAGAAGCTTCTCTTGCGAAAAAGCTTATGAAAAGCTTCAGCGGACTCAGGGAAAGCTCCGGCCCCAATCCTTGGGCCAAGCCAGTACTACTAGTTCCTAACCGCAGATATTCTCCCACTGCCATCGCCGCTCGCTCGCAGTGTCAGCGCTGGTAGCAATCAAGTCCGCGCTGGGCCTGTCGTTCGTCACGTGGTCACCTACTGCTACCCCCGACTGCGCCGTCGACCCTGGGCAGCGGCCTAGTGGTACTGAATGGGAATCGGTCTACTGCTCCACTAGCGGGGACGTGACTTTCTTGTAAGCTGGGCAAGCGATGTCTCTTTTTTTGTGTGTTTTTTTTTTTGTTATTGTATCAATAACCGCGGCCTTATTTTAGTGAGTGCGTGTGTGTGTGTGTGTGTGTGTGTGTGTGTGTGTGTTTGTGTGTGTGTGTGTGTGTGTGTGTCTGTGTGTGTGTGTGTGTGTGTGTGTGCGTGTGTGTGTGTGTGTGTGCGTGTGTGTGTGCGTGTGTGTGTGCGTTGTGTGTGTCAGAGTGTGTGTGTGTGTGCGGCGTGCGTGCGTGCATGTGTGGGTGGGTGTTGGTGCGTGCGTACGTGTGTACGCACGTGAGACTGCGTGCGTGCGTGTGTGTGCGGGTGGTGGCCCGATTCGGATTTGTGTGCGTGAGTTGCTGACAGGGAGTTGACTGCGCATTATATAGTCCGCAAGGACCTCCCCAGCGACTTGACCGCACTTGCGGCGCTCACTTCATTGTAAGTAGACACCCTTTTTTATGCGTTTGCTTTTATGATACATCAAACCAATTCTACACAATGTTTTGTCCTAATTCCGGTCTCTGCTATGTTCATGCTCGCAGAAAAATGAATGGTAACCTACTGGACGGCAACATGGGAAAGTACCTCAAGTATCTCACTGGCCTCTCTGCCCTCCAAACATTGTGAGCATCCGTGACAGCTGCTGTCCATGCTCTACTGCTGGCCCTACAAGTCCACAACCATCAGCCCAACCATCCGTCAGGTTTATCTATCCATCTATTAATCCATCCATCCGTCCGTCCGTCCGTCCGTCCGTCACTCCGTCCCTCCCTCCCTCCCTCCCTCCGTCCCTCCGCCCCTCCGCCCCTCCGCCCCTCCCTCCCTCCCTCCCTCCCTCCCTCCCTCCCTCCCTCCCTCCCTCCCTCCCTCCCTCCCTCCCTCCCTCCCTCCCTCCCTCCCTCCCTCCCTCCCTCCCTCCGTCCCTCCGTCCCTCCCTCCGTCCGTCCGTCCGTCTCCGTCCGGCCCTCCCTCCCTCCCTCCCTCCCTCCCTCCCTCCCTCCCTCCCTCCCTCCCTCCCTCCCTCCCTCCCTCCCTCCCTCCCTCCTTCCCTCACTCCCTCCCTCTTCCTTGTTTCCGTGTGCCCCTTCATTTTTTCTCGCATCTTTTTCCTCATTGTTTCGTGACAGGAACATGGCCAGTAATTTTTTCTCTGGACAGTTCCCAAGCTTCCTCCTAGGCTTAACGAGTCTTACTGCTCTGTAAGTATAGTGCAAATGCTGTCAACTCATCCATTCTCTTCAAGTAGTCCGAACCTTTATGCCACCACCCCCGTCATGCCCCCATCTCTCTTCCTCACCTCTTCTCCCCCTTCCTCTCCCCCTCCTCCGTCCTTCCCTCACTCCCACACCCGAGATCACTGCTACTACAATATTCCGCACCCTAACCCCCCCAATATCCCCTTTCTAACACACTCCCACAGGGACCTCTCATACAACGCCCTCACGGGCTCCCTGCCATCCACCATCACCAAGCTCAAGTCCCTCATCCTCTACAACAACTTCCTCGTGGGCTCTCTACCGTCCAACACCTGGACCGAATGCTGGGGCTATCTCAACTGCCTTAGCTCTGTCGGCACGTGCGGTTCGGCCTACACAGCTCAGCGCTCGAGTGCCGACTGTGCCATTTGCGGCAGCACTGATGGCACCGGCACGCTGTGTAACCCGGGCGAGTCGTGCGAGGCGGATAGCGATGCCAGAATTTCCTCCAACAGTTTGAACGTGCAGGGTGTTGGAGCGACAGTGATGTGTAAAGTCCTGAGCAGCCCTCTCATTGAAGCTACTCAGGGTGAGTGCTCCACACATTGCTCGGGTAGTCTGCCACCGCACTTGCAATATTGTGCTCTTGCACCCTTGCACACTCGCAATATTTCCCTCTTGCATGTTTGGCACTTTAGCGCTCTTGCCCACAATAGTCTCGCACACTTGTGCTCTCACACTCTCGCGCCTCCGCACTCTTGCACCCTCGCACTCTTGAACCCTCTCAATCGTGCTTCCCACTTCACCTCGCGGGGGAGGTGGGATAGGAGATTTGTGCATTGAAGTCGTCACGGGACAGAATGGTGAGAAAATGGTTGTGACTGCTTTACAGATTATATATCAATACTCCGGGTCAGGGGACAGTGTCCAGATTTTCCTTCGAGTACGACGCAATCTGTTCTCGAATGTTAGCAAAATGGCGGTAAGATATTTGTTTGGAGCTATGGCGGCGCGACTTGCCTGTGTGATGGCCATGCTGCTGCTTCTGTCAAGCGGCCCCGCCCCTTGGCCCTTGGCCCTTGGCCGGGCGGCAGTCAGCTGGGGATCTAATCTTGCGGCGTCACGGTGCACGTAAGCGCCACCATCAAGCCAGCGCAAGGTTGGCACTGTGCTGTTAGTAGTACTAGTACCGTACGTACTACCAGTGGTACTTCTGCCCATCATGATGGTTGCGCTAACGCCGGTGCAAATCTAGTAGGAAGCGGGAAATGGTATTGTTAGTCTAGATTCTTCTGCATCACATGGAACACATGAAACTGCCAAGCCAGTACTACTAGCTGTCATCCCTAACCCCAGATAATATTCTCCCACTGCCACCGTCTCCATCTCGCAGTGTCAGCGCTGGTAGCCATCAAGTCCGCGATGGACCTGACTTCCATCATGTGGTCACTCACTACTACACCCAGCTGCGCGGTCGACGTGTCAACGAGTAAAGATACTGATTGGCGCTCAGTCATGTGCTCCACAAACGGTGACGTGGTTTTCATGTAAGCTGGGAACTGCTGTGCTCTCGGCTGCATGCTTTTTTGTCGTTCATGTCTGATTAGCCCTTCAGTGATTGCTTAATATTTTTACCCAAAAACCGCGGCCTAATGTGTGTGTGTCTGTGTGTTTGTGTGTGTGTGTATGTGTGTGTGTGTGTGTGAGTGCGTGTGTGCGCGCGCGCGTGTGTGAGCGCGTGTGAGCATGCGTGCGGGCGTGTGTGTGCGGGTGGTGGCCTGATTCGGATTTGTGGGTGTGAGTTGCTGACAGGGATTTGTCACTGCGAAATATAGTCCGCAAGGACCTTCCCAGCGACTTGACCAAACTTTCGGCGCTCACTTATTTGTGAGTAGACACCCTTTATGATGCTTCTGATTTTATGGTACATTATACCAGTCCTAACCATTGTTTTGCTCTAATTCCTGTCTCTGCAGGACATTGAGTAATAACCTGCTGGACGGCAACATAGGGAACTACCTCAAATATGTCACTGGCCTCTCTGCCCTCCGAGAGCTGTGAGCATCCATGGCTGCTGCTGTCCATGCTCTACTTCTGCCTCCAACCATCCGTCAAATCCATCCATACACTCATCTATTTATACATCCATCCATCCATCCATCCGTCCGTCCGTCCGTCCGTCCGTCCGTCCGTCCGTCCGTCCCTCTCTCCCTCCCTCCCTCCCTCCCTCCCTCCCTCCCTCCCTCCCTCCCTCCCTCCCTCCCTCCCCCCCTCCCCCCCTCCCTCCCTCCCTCCCTCCCTCCCTCCCTCCCTCCCTCCCTCCCTCCCTCCCCCCTCCCCCCCCCCTCCCTCCCTCCCTCCCTCCCTCCCTCCCTCCCTCCCTCCCTCCCTCCCTCCCTCCCTCCCTCCCTCCTCCTTCCTTCCTTCCTTCCTTCCTTCCTTCCTTCCTTCCTTCCTTCCTTCCTTCCTTCCTTCCTTCCTTCCTTCCTTCCTTCCTTCCTTCCTTCCTTCCTTTCTTCCTTCCCTTCTTCCCCATTTCCGCCCTTTGGTCCGCCCTTTCATATGTTTGCCACTATTTCGTTGTTGTTTTGTGACAGGTACATTTACGGTAATTATTTCTCTGGACAGTTCCCAAGCTTCCTCCTGGACTCAACAAGCCTTACTGCTCTGTAAGTATAGTGCTACTCATTGCTGTCCACTAATAATTTATTTTCAGGTTGTCCGAACCTTTATGCCACCCCACTCATAGTCCCCCCATCTCGCTTCCTCACCTCTTCTCGCCCATCCCCCCCCCCCCCCCCCCCCCCCCCCCCCCCCCCCCCCCCCCCCGTCCCCCTCCCCGCCCTCCCCCCTCCTCCTCCGCCCTTCCCTCTCACACCTCAGGTCACTGCTACTACAATCGTCCCGCACTCTAAACCCCCCAACCTCCCCTCTCCAACACCCCCCCACAGGGACCTCTCATACAACTACCTCACCGGCTCCCTGCCATCCACCATCACCAAGCTCAAGTCGCTAGTTATCAACAACAACTTCTTCGTGGTCCACATGCTACTGCCAAAATAACTGCCTTAGCTCTGTCGGCACATGCGTTGGCTTTCTCGGCACATATCAGCGTCCGAGTGTCGTTTGTGCCATTTGCGGCAGCACTGATGGCACCGGCACGCTGTGTAGCCCGGGCGAGTTGTGCAAGCCGGATGCCGATGCCAGTATTGCCTCCCTCAGTGTGAACATGTCTCCAGAAGTGGAACTGAGGTGTATCGGCGTTAGCGGCCTTCTCATGGAAGCTTCTCAGGGTGAGTGCGCCACATGTCGTTCAGATAATCTGCAACCACACTTGCACTCTTGTGCTTCTGCGCCCTTGCACTATTGCAAACTTGCGCTCTCAAGATCTTCCCCTCTTGCATGTTTTGCAGTTTCGCACTCTTGCTTTTTTTTTTTTTTCCCTTGCACTCCTGTTATTTTGCACTCTTGCATGCACATAACCGTACGCTCCCACACTCCTGTAGCACTAACACAACACTGTTGCACGCTCGTGCTCTCTCGCTCTCACACTCTTTCACCCTCGGATTCTTGCGCCCTCTCAATCGTGCTCCCCACTTCCCCCCCGGACCCTCCCCCACCTCTCGACAGCCAATGCGATGATGGCATTGAAGGCTGCTCTGGGTGTGACCCTCACCACGTGGGCCTCCACCAACCTCTGCCGCATCACCGAAAAAACAACGGCCCTCTCGAACGAGTGGACTGGCGTCTTCTGCAATCTCGCCGGCTCCGTGGAGTCCATGTGAGTGGGCAGTGGGGCTATGGGGCACTGGTTGGGCACTGTGTGGAAACCCCGCGGAGCACAAATGATTGGCAATCATCCCAAGTACCTATGACTTTGTCTGACGAAGGTGCGATAGAGATGTCTGTTTGTCTGACAGCGTCGAGTACTCTTCACAAAAGGATTTCAAAGCTAGACATATAGAGGAAGTGGGAAAGACATGTGACCTTTCAGCCAGCATCCCCACTCATCCTGTGCTTCTCCCGTACCCCAATACAGCTCGGTGGGGCGTCAGAGTCTCAAGGGGTCCATTGCTTCGGACATCACGAAGCTGACTGCGCTCACCTACCTGTAAGGGAGAATCAGGGAGTGCACACACAAGAACATGCAATGCATGCACGCACGCACGCACAGACGGGTTGACTGCCCTTTAAAGGGAATGCCTAACTGTTGAGTCGAGTGCCCGTGTGCCATGCTGCACACCAAGGATCACAAGTTCCTGGTTCCATGGTCACCGTTCCTGGTCCCAAACTCGAGAGCAGCCTGCTGCTTCTGGCCGCCGTTCCATGGTCAGTCGTTTGGGTATGGGGTGAGGAAGATGGGAAGGAACACGGACGGGCAAATCTGAAGCTTTGATCACATCACATATCCGTGCCAAACGTCCGTCCTTTGCCAAAACAATGAGGCGACTATGCATGCACGGGAACATATTCAAATAAGGGTGCTGATGGGATGCTGGCCTGGGCAATGGACCTAATAAGAACCGTTTGTATCTCCAAACCATCCTGCCTACACAACATTTTCTCCTAACTCCACCGGATTCAGGGATTTTGGGTTCAACCTTTTTCAGGGCGCCCTCAACGTATTTCTCTTTCCAATGAACGGCATGACTTCGCTGAAGGCGCTGTATGTACCTTTATTGTAAGAGCCGTGAAAATGTTCTTATGATTGCTCATATGCAGTGTGTGCGTGGTATGCACAAGCCAAGCGGAGATATTCCCGTATCATTGTGCAACCGTTCTTCTTGCCGTACTTAACCATGCATTTCACATGAACCACTCAATCTCTTCCCTCTGGTGCACTATTGCTGCTGTCCCCCTAGATTTCTCAGCTACAACTGGTTTTATGGAACCATTCCTACCATCTTTGCCTCTCTGCCTCAGCTCACCACACTGTAAGATATACTAGATTGGGCTAACTCTGTGTTGAACTGCTCTCATGCTCTGTGTTGTAGGCCCAAAAGGTTCGAGGTTGGGCAGTACAGTACAGTCTCAAAACTTTCTAGGTGACATGAGGTTCATCATTGCCTGTCTGCCAAACACACAGGTTCAAGGAAAGGATTTTCTGATACATGCAGGAGCGTCGTTGCTGGCCATTCTGCTCATGCGTTGAAGCGCCTCACATCTCGCCTACGACTTCATGTCATGTCTCTGCTGTCTCCTCTCCTGTCTCAATGCCTACTACTATAACCCCCTCACCTAACCCCCCCCCCCCTCCGCCCTTTTCCCCTCCCACCACCAACTTCCCCCAGAGGCCTCTACTCCAACTACCTCACGGGCACCATGCCCATCCTCTCCACCTCCCTGGTCTCTCTGGACGTGGGCTTTAACTTCCTCTCAGGCTCTTTTCCCCAGCTCTCCCTCGCGGTCTGTGCGGCCGACCAGAACTGCTTCCTCAGCTCCTCCTACTGCCACACCTATGGCGCAATGCAGCGCCCCGCCACTGCCTGCGCCATCTGCGGCACAACCAACGGGCAGGGAACACTGTGTGCTTCCAGACCTTGCGTCGCCAACAGCTCTCTACCAGATAGCCAGGGGATTGTCAACACCCCCTCAGTGCCGCCGGTGGCCTTGACTTGTTCGTGTGAGTGCTGCTTGTTGATTGGCATAAAAAACAGAAGATTTGTATGAGAAAGGAGTACAAAAGAAATGCCATTGTAAGAGATGCTCAAAGGAGTGATGATGTGGCCTTGACTTGTTCGTGGGAGTGATGATGGGGCATGTGGTGAACCATCGCCTTTGGAATAGCACCGCAACGTTCTGTCTGTTCCTTAAGAAATGATGGAGTGCAAATGGCATACAGAGGGAGTAATTTGATGTGGCCTGACATGTGGGAGTAATTTCATGTTCTCTTAATAATTTGTTTGAAGCATTTACTACCTGAATTCTGTCTGTCTGACTAACTCTGATGTTGGTTCATGCATTTGCTTCTTACCCGTGTTGCCTGTACAGCAAGAGCTCCCACGGTCCTCATGAATGCTGCCTCAGGTGAGCCTTCTTATGTAACGCCAACGTCCATGCCCCTCCCACTCTCTTCCTGTACTCTCACACGTTCCTGGCACCCACAATTGAGTAGCACACGCACCTGCATATGTCTACCACATACCCTATCAACCCTTTTTCCAAACGTAGCCTGCCCCACTTTTCCATTTCCCTCCCTATTCTCTCGATCCAGTCTCCGCGATGATATCCATCAAGTCATCCCTGGGTTTGACATTCACGAATTGGGCCTCCTCCACTCTTTGAATTGCGGGCACCGGAAGTCTCCCAGTAGGAACCATCACTTGGTCTGGTGTTCAATGCTCCATGGATGGGGCACCCAACAATTTGTGAGTGCTCAATTGGTGCACATTTGTGTGAGCGCTCTAAGAAACTATAGATTTGCAAGTTTCAAACGATTGTGGAGCAATCACGCAGCTGTGACTGAGTCTGCGCTGCATGTCCCTGCTAGGCTCCTGTTTACATGTCCCGTTCAGAAAAGCGGTAATACAACTCTCTCTCGTATCAGCACCGCTCTAGAAAAGACTTGCAATAACACCTGGAGTATATTACCATAAGTGGAACGACCCTAGGGATGAGCAAGGGGCGAACACGAGTTCGTGTTCGCCCCTACACGAACACAGCTGTTCTCCGAACCGAACAGTGTTCGGTTCGGCGAACACGTTTAGCAAAAACAGGTGTTTGCCTTTCACCTGTGAAGGCGTGTTCGGGCGAACCTCGAACACGTTCGTGTTCGTCGCGGGGCAAATTGCAGCAACGGCCCGAACACGAACGTGTTTGGGCGAACCTCGGAACTCTATTTGGCGAACACTTTAAGCCAAAAAATAACCTGTTCGATTCGCCTCGTCCCCTTGCTCATCCCGAAACGACCCACACTCTTTGCACTTCGTGTGTGGTTCCATCTCCCATGCATATGGTGAGGAGATTCCATTTCTCCCCCTGCTTTGTAAATTCAATCTCCTGCAGAAACTTGGCAGCCATGGCACTGAAGGCCACCACCCTGCCTGCTGACATGTCCAAGCTCACTGGCCTCACACAACTGTCAGTCTCTCTTAAACCATATTTTGTATTATAACGGCCTTAGGTACGTGCAAACTTCCAAGCACAACAAGGTAGGGACATTGACATACAACTTCAACTCCTCTTTCTCCCTCTTGCGCATGGCTGCATGCTATTGCTATGTCTCTGCTGCCATGCGCCTGCCACTCCACGTTACGCCATGAGCTGCCATGCATGCTATGCCATGCGTGTACTGTCTATGTCCCGTGCACTTGCCCTCAATCAGGGACCTTTCATCAAATCTCTTTAACGGCCGCTTGGAAGACTTTGCGTCCAGCCTCAAGGGGTGCACAGCTCTACTGTCCTTGTGAGCCGTCAAGTGAAGAGGATGTGAGCAGTCAATACAAGACCATCTGAGAAGTCAAGAGCATATGAGCATTCTCGTGCATATGAGCAGTCAAGAGCATGTGAACAGTCAAGAGGATGTGAGGTTTCAGGAGCATGTGAGCAGTCAAGAGCATCCAACTAGAGTAACATAAGACCTACACCATGGCTGATGAGCGGTTAAGAGGCCACTCACTTGGCTTCAACAGGAAACACGATATGCTGTGAAGGATCATTCACGCCTTTTACATGTCCACAGGCTGAACTTTCCACATATGTGAAAGGATGGATGGGGCATGCAGCTAATTGGAATATATTTTTGCTGCCCTCTCGAGACAATGACTGACGCTACAGGAAAGTCTCAGTTTTGATTGAGCGAGTGAGTGTCATCAACCAAGCCACCAACTCCCCTGCCATGCACTTGGCATATCACTAAATTACAACTACCTGTACGGCTCGATCCCCTCGTACCTCGTGAATCTCCCAGCCCTCTCAGAGCTGTAAGTAGCATCATGCCATACCCTTCATACTCACCCTTTTGTTCTCTTGATCTTGCCAGCTATCTTGCTTTTATGCAATCCCTGGTTATGATTAACAAACTTTTTTTTTTTTACTTTTACCCCCCTCCACCCTCTTTCCTCACCATCCATATTCTTTCCTCAGATACATGTATTACAACTTCCTCACAGGTAGCATCCCAGCCGTGGGTTCAAACTTGAAGAAGCTCAATTTATGGAACAACTACGTTTCGGACATCGCCACACACTCACTCACCTACTGCAACGACGCTCTCTGCTGCCTCACTGATCCCTCCAAGTGCACCACTGGCGGAACCACCCAACGGTCTGCTGTTAGTTGCGCCATCTGTGGCACTACCAATGGCGCCACTCCCCTGTGCTGGGGCGGTGGTGGGGAGTGCGTGGCTGCTGCTGCATCTAACATTGCAGCTGGCAGAATCAACACATTTGGAAATACCGTTCTCCCACCCATGCTCTGCTCGGGTAATGTGCCTTAACCCTACGCATGGGTCCACACTATTTTTAGCCACCTTCGCATGTGTCAAAGTTGTTCTCCATGCACGTGCACCCTTCTTCTCCTTCGTCTTCTGCTGCTTTGGCTGCTGCTGTTGAACAATGGTTGTGAATCACTCACCAGCCTAGCTTCTATACAACCCAAACTCCTTGCGCTTTTCTCCTGCAGGCGGTGTTCTAGTGGACATACCATCTACAAGCACCGCAGATGTGTGTGGGCTACTCATTGTATCACAAAGCGCCAAAACCCACCTATAAGTTGTTTCAATCAATGCACTTCTCTCTGCCTCTCTCTGCGTCCTCTTTTCTCTAACTCTTTCCTCTACAAACACTTCCCTCCCTCCCCCCCCCCCCCCCCCTCTCTCCCCTCTCTCTTGCCCTCCCCCTTCGCCAGCACTGCTGTCGCTCAAGTCAATGCTGGGCGTGACATTTACCTCATGGGCAACTGGTGCGCCATGCCAAGTGGTTGGCAAGCAGGCTGCCACACAGACCACATGGTCCGGCGTGCTCTGTGGCGATACCGGGGACGTGCTTTCCATGTGAGCACCCATGCTTTCCACCATCCATAAAACGCTTCGTGGGAGGGAAGGAGGGGTTCAGTAAGATAGTTAACTAGCCGGTCTCTATCACATCTTCGCACAACACATTGCCCTGCCTCTTCCCATCACCCCACTACAGCTCGGTGGCGCGTCAGGGTCTTAAAGGGGGTCCCATTCCTTTTGACTTCACCAAGCTCACCGCCCTCACTAACCTGTAAGGGTGAATCAGGGAGTGCACACACAAATACAAGAACCAGTAACGCACGTAGACACAGACATGCAGACTGCATTGCAAAGGTAATGCCTACCTGTCTAGTGGTTGTGTGCCACACCCCACGGGGAAGAAGTTTCTCGTTCTGCAACTCAAGAACCCTGCCTGCTGCCACTGGCGGCTATCTGGTGGCCCATGACCAGTTGTTTGGGACGGAGTACAAGAGATAGGAAGGGACAAGGACAGACCATTTTTTTGCTCTCATCACATGTCCATTGTCCGAATATGCATGGATGCATGTGCCTCTTTGGGGTCCGCCTGTCCCCCACCCCAGAGAAGGTGAATATGTATGCATGCGTGAATCTGCAGAAGAAAGGGTAAATCATGCTGCTGATGTGATGCTCTGACGGGCAATGGCCCTAGTAAATAGCGTCTCTCTCTCAAAGCCATTTTGCGTACAGCACTACCCTTTTCTTCGAGATGTGTGATTTGCAAACTTTATTTTCACCCTCACCTGCTTAGGGATTTCGGCTACAACCTCTTTCAGGGTAGTCTTGAAGATTTCGCCTTTCCAATTAAATTCATGACCAGTTTAAAGGCGCTGTAAGTTCCTTGTGCTCTATAACATCTGTAAACATGTTCTAATCATTGGCTACGTGAAGTGTGTGTATGGCATTGTTGTGCTTTATGATTAATGTGATATCTACAAATCATGCCGGTAACTTTGTGCA